ATAAAATTGTTTTTTCTTTATCATAATTAAATTCATGGTTCGTGTATCATCTTCAAAAACCAAACCGAAAGAAACACTCTCTTCATCTTTCTCTCTACCTCTCTCTTTCTCTCTAGCTCTCCATCTCTTTTGGTATTTAATTCGTGCGCCGCAAGGTGAGTTGAGCGGTACAAATAAACGTGTGTACATATGTACAGTCATATTTACCTCGATCATTTCTATTGTCCACACACGTTCGATAGAAAAGGAGGGCAACAGGGCGAAAGAGCGAGACGGAGAGTCGCGAGTGTGTAGGCAGCGTAAGATTGGTGTGGCCGAGATGAACGGACAGCTCCAAATTACAGATGGTAGTACCCAGTAGATATTTACAATCTGGATTACAAGTATTTATATTTTACCACAAAAAATCAACTTTGAATTTTTTTTTATGTTATTAAAATAAATACCTGTATATATTCTACCAATCTGGATCTAAATTTAATTTCTCAACAAACAGCTTCAATACAATAAAAAAAATAAAATATATGAATATGTATGATGATTTTACACGACCTAAAAGTGCATGATAGTCATGATGTAACATATTTATGAAATCCACTCATCTTGTAAATATTGAAAAGTTTTAAGTTCCTAAATGGGCCATTTTAGATAAATATATATTAGAAACTCACTTTTCTACCCCATTAATCAAGGTTTGAATGAAAACAATTCGATTTCCAGGGTACACCAGACACCGTTACATAGTTCACCTTTCTAGCTTTAGTTGTTGAAATTAATTATGCTGCCGTTGGCTCTAAAAATTCCATCCAATCTAAGGCCGTGGGGTAATTTCAAGCAAAACGAAAGCGCCACCCATCCAAAGAAATTTCTCACTCCCCATCTCCCTCTAACGCTCTGTTGTTCGTTGTTTTCCCCCGCCGATTTTTCACGTACACGCATTTCTTTTGATAATTTCATAATCATGTTTCTATTTTTCACATTGATAACTCAGCCAAAGATCACCGGAACTGAGAGCTTTATGCTACGCAGCTTCGAACAAGGCCCAATGCGATTGTCAATAACTCATTGCACTGACATCGAATGCTGGTCGCCAACGCAACAGTGGATCCCCCTCACCTTACCTCCCCCGATTGGGGAAAACTCTTGGAAAACCCGCTTGGAGCTGCTGCACGAACGGCAAGATAAATAAAATGTCATTTGCCTCGTGTGCAGCGTGCAGCTCAGAGATCGGTGTCTTCATCCGACGGCTGATATATCCCCCTATTAGGCATTCGAGTACCCAACTAAGATGACTCCATTAAAACGGAGAAACTAGGCATGATATTTCTCAATTATCGATCAGTCCTGTTTTTTGGGAAGGGTACAAATAAGGTGCATTTATTAGCGGAGTTTGAAGCGAATAGGCCCTTCTTTGTTTAAAAAATGTTTCCTATGATTATCAATAAGTAGAAATATAGGTTGTTTTTTAATATACAGGAATCGCAACACCTAGAAAATAAGCTATGGAACATCTGCACGAGGAAGCACTAAAATAATATCAAAATCACAAAAGTGTCATAAACACAATCCATTAATAGCAACCTGAAAATACTGAATCTTTTCATTAAAAATAAACACGAACCACCCACGAATTCAATTGTTGTTGTTCTTATAAGTTGTATTTCTTCATAGCAATTTCTTTTCACCATTGAAATGCGTACAAAAATCATTTAGACAGATCGTGGCATTAAAATATATGTACAGCCGCACATATATCCACATATACTCGCATATCGAGCGCAAAACAACCGAATATTTTAATTAGAGTATAGCTAAAAAATAACAGCAACAAAAAAGAAAGAAACATTCAACAAATGGGAAAAAAACGAGAGAAAAAGGGGCAAGAAGGGGGAAAACATGGGCGGAGGTAGCAACAAATATTAACAATAATTATACCCAAAATATCAAGGCGCGACACCTATTCCATATAAATTTTAGCTTTCCACAATTTTTTTCCGTTCACTCTCGATAAAAATAACATTCCACACGTACACATACAACTAGGGAGGGGTTTTTTTTGAGGGGGGAGGGGGTGGAGAAATAGATTTGGGAAGTGAGTTTTGGACAGTACCTACACACCACCACCCAACCTCCCCCCGAAAAGGAAAAGCGGCTGTGGGAAATGTAGGCCGAGGGGGAGTGGCGGGGTGTGTGGGTAAAAATAAATACAAATGTCGCCGGCATCAATAAGATATAAATTAAAAGCGTACTACAATCCCGATGTTAATTAGAGAAGCACGAGGAGAACTATGTGGAGGTGGGGCTAAATTTAAGGCTAAGGTGAGGAGAAGTGGAGCAAAGAATCAGAGAATCTCCCCTTTACACTGGGAAAATAAGGCAGATTTATTTATTAACAACCAAAAGTCTTAATAACATTCAGCAAAGAGTAGGGGTAATTATCCATATGTAAATGGATCCAATGATTTCCAAAATTTGAGGAAAAAGAGAATTCCATAAAAATTTAACAATTCACCTATCCAAGCTAAAGTGTTATAATATAATTACCCTTTATATAACATCCTTTTCTTATTTTGTGTTTAATATATTTCGGCACTTAGATTAAAAGTATACTTCTTTTGGTTAGTTATTGAGAACCCATAATTATTCAGGAGTTTCTTTTAGTGCAATACTATATATCTATTGCATATCACTGTAGATTTTTCCGCTCCACTCATCCCATTCAATTTCATACCTCGCTCCAGTGGAAGCGTTTGACATGCTGTCGTGTATCTATTAGATACATTAGCTACCGCATGCCGCCAACTTGCGCTCCCTTTAGGAAGATGTAGCTGCCTCTCAGTTGCATCCACAGATCGTTGCATCCATGGATCGCTGACTTGTTGGGCCTCTGCGACAATTTCGATGTTCTCCTATTTGAAGTGTTTTTACACGTAAATTTATTTTGTTTTTGTCGAGTTTAATAAAGTTGCATCTGCCGTGGGGTGCCAACCTTATAGCTTTCCCGGCTGCCAAAGTGGGAGGGAAAACTTTATTTATTCCCGCCTCAGGCAGCTTAATGACTTCCTGCAGGGGCGCTACTGCAACAAATCGGAGGAGGGGTGAGATTATGGTGCGGTAGCGGTGCTATATCTCTTCTGTTTGGAGGCTCAAATTTTAAAATATTACTCGGGCGTATACATAACAAAAATTATGATGAATACTCGAGCTCAAATTACTAGTCGTCAAAGTAATACTATGAGGAGTAAAAATGTGAATAAAATAAAAATATGATTATATGTAATATGATTAAACCTTCTTACTTAGATGTTATAATAAGAAAATTTTAAATATAAATCACTTTAAGGCGATTTTTGTTATGATTAAGACTCTAACAATGTGCAAAATAAATTGTTGAATTGACAGTCCAAATCCGTTTTAAATGATTTATTTAATTCCTATTTGTTACAACATAAACGTATTTTCTTAGCTGCGTCACTTATATTACAATTTCAAATTAACCCAAATGATTTATTTAATTCCGTGTGACAACTACTGAACATTCCAATGACTGCAATTTTGTACCTTACACTCACATTTTATTCGATTTAAATGATTCATTTTGTAAATTCTTTGGTTTTGAAATTTAATTGTAAGCTGCAAAGAACCTTTAAAAATAATTAATAATGATCTTTACAATGTAAGGATTATGTTATCCCTACTATTTCAAGAAATGATTTTAAGTAAATAAAAATCTTATCAAATTTATTTGATTATATAAATTTCGCTTAAATTGTTCATAATGTATTAAATATTGCACTCATTTTAGTAGTTAGCACCCGGATAAAACTCCTCTCTTCTTGCCAGCAATTTTGACCAAGAAAGCTGGCAATTCTGCAATTCTATTGGTCAACTGGCTTTCATGCTTTCTTCCCGGGCTCTCTGCAGTCTTCACCTTGGCACTTCGCCTGGTTGGAAAAGTAAACACAATCTGATTGTATGGCTTAGATAATAGCCCCCTAGTGTTTGCATCTGTGTGTGTGTGTGAGCGTTGGCCAGTTGAGGAAGGGGCTAAAAAAGGCCGAAAAACCGCCGACGCGTTGCATGCAACATGTTCGCTGTCGAACCAACGAACATCGAATATCCAACCGAGCCAATCGAGCCGACGTATCCGTCAGATACGAAAACAGGAATTCTTATTACGCGCACTGCGAGTCTCGCAGTTCAATTTCGACGGGCAAGTGTCGTGGTTCAAGTGCGGATAATTTGGCTTATTACTTGTGATTTTCACAATGTTTTGGTGGCTTAGAAACTATCAAAGCCTTTAAGACTTTGAAAACAAACATCAACAAAAACTTGCATAAAATTCAAACAAAAAACAAGAACTACGACTAAATCAAATGAAAATAGTAATAAAAAGAAACCAAAATTGGAACAAATAAACAATGCTTTTTGCATAAACTGTGTGTTGTCAAATACTTTCAAAGGAAATCCACGGAATCCTAATTTCTAGTGCAAAACTATAAAAACTGAAATTGCAGCGGCAACGCGTCGGCAAATTGGCATAAATAAATAAAATCACTGTCGTTTTTTCCGCTGCTCTTTTTTTACAACCTGATTTTTATGAATGAATGCAGCTACAGCGCAAAAAAAAACCGCAACAAAAGAGCGAGACAGCGCGAGTCGCGTGCACAGGAGCGAAATCGCTGAAGAAAGGGGGCGGTGGCGCCCGAAGAGGGGGCGGAAAAAAAGCGGACAGGTTGTCCCGTTCGATTGCCGCCCACCGCCCATCGCCCACTTTTGTTTGGTGTTTCTTTTTCCGCTTTTCCTAGGCGACACACGCTCATCGCTTGTCACTTTGTTGTTGCTGTTTTTTTTTTTATTATTGTTGTTGCTGTCAGCGGTTGTCGCAAAAATACACACACAACCACACTCGCGATCAGAACGACAAGCACACGCACACACACTCACACTCGCATGCAGCAATTGTTGTCGTTGCAAAATTAATAACGGAAGTTGTGCATTTTATTAATAAAACGAAATTCACACAGAACCAGATTCACAATCACAATCAGAATCAGAAGCAGAAGCAGAAAAAAAGAAATAAAACCAGAACACGAAACTCGCTGCGAAAAAGAGCAGGAAAACAGAAATCGCAAGTGCAGCGCGACGGCTTCTTCTTCTTGTGGCGTTTTTCTTCGATTTCGTTTCGTTTGTTTTCCACTTCTCGGAAAACCCAGGAAAACGTCCTCTGTTTTGGTATCATTTCTCATCCATTTACTCTTATTGTTATTGCAGTTGTGCAGTGTTGAAAAATCAAACTAAATTCAAAATCGGCTAAAAAGAAAAGTGCTTAAGGTCCCATCAAAAAAACACACAAAACAAATTTTTAAAGGGCTGAAATCCTTCAAATAAATAACCCTTAGTGTTTCAAAAGTGTTCAAATTTTACAAGTGTCGTTGCATCACAAAAATCAGCGAGCAAATTCTGCATCATCGGGGTTTTCCAAAAAATACAGGACACTTTACAGTGCCAGCGGTAAGTTTTAAGGCAATCTTAAAATAATATTCATTTAACCATTAAAATTCTTGGAAATATATATATTAATGATGTGTTGATGAGACATACATATTTACTAGAAATAGATTTTAATTTAGCTAAGATCATTATATTTTTCTAAAAGATGATTTAATCTTTCAAGTGACAACCCTCAGTTCGAAATAACTGCATATGTCTATAAGATATTTGGTTCAGTAAATCCAAACGTTTAAAATAATTTATTTTTTATTCACAAACTTTTTCCTTTTAAATTATAAAACAAAATTTAATTGCTTCTATAGACATTAACTCTTTCAGAATTAAAATTGCGACCAGATTTTTCATTTTGTTTCAAGTTTAAATAATTTATTTTTTCTGGCGTCCCGTTTTAAGTCTTACACGCAACATCTTAAAATGCCAATGCATTTCAATTTTTTATCAAATAGATTACTTTAATACTACCTTAAACAAAGCATTTTTATTTGAATTGCATTGTTTCCAAATTACCTTTTTAAGTTAAAATCTTTAACAAAAAGAAAAACATTTTGAACACCTGAGGGCAAACTTAAATTTATTTTATTACACCAAACCAAATAAAAATCGGTTGTCTTTTTATACAGTAAAATAGAACTTTCTCGCCAGTTTAGGCCTATTCGACTTTTAAATGGCATTGCGTTTCAGTTTTGATTTTGATTTTGTTTAACATAAATTGAATTAGGTTAACAAATTTTTTACGACCATGATCTTTATTTGCGATCTCCACCAGCGATCGTAAACCGAAGTTAATGGCTTACAAAAACTGACTCACAAAAGGCGTTAACATTTAGGCATCATGGCAATGTCTTTAAAAACTAGCAAACCACTATGTGTGAATCTTTGAAAAATATATGTTTTTGGCTTTACACGCTTTCATGATTGGTCTGCCCCGAATGGGTGTCCTCTTCCAAATTGATAAATGAATCTTTGGAGTTTTTGGGAATACATTTACTGGGGAATTTTGTGCAGTAATTGCCAACTTATTCGAGGCAGTGGCAGTATGGCCAATAATGGTAATAGCAGCTAATGAACTCGGGTCTCTCGACTAGATTTTGGATTCGGTTTCGGAGTTGGGGGTCCGCGTAAGTGTAGATTCCTCGCCTCAGCGAGTGTTGTTTTTTTTTGTTTTTGGTTTTTTTGTATTTTTGTTACCGGCGTTGAAAACAAACACAAATAGATGTGGAAACCCGGGGATGCTGGAAAACAAAAGGGGAACCCGAGTGCAGAGGAGGCGAACAATTAACGCGTCGCCGTAATTACAGCAAATGGTAAAAAATGTTTGTGAACAACTAACCAGAAAAAGACACACAACGCAAAACAGATACGGCGAGAGGGTAAAATACAAAATATTAATAATCAATAGCTCGCTAAAAGGCAACGGCGGAGTCGGTCGAGTTGGTCGCGATGGTTGAGGCAATTTTATCGGTCATTGAACGGCCGAAAGACCAAGAAAAGATTTACAAGCCGAGAAAAAAAAAGCAAACGCAAAACGCCAAGCTGGAAATTATGCCAAAAACTCAGTAAGAAGCGATCGGTTTTTGGTTAATTACCCGAACTAAGGCCCCAGCCAAAATCTCCGTTAACCTTCGGGGTAACAAAATCCGGGGAGCGTTGGAGCCCAGCAGTTAATTACATAAAAACAAGTGATTTGCGTGTGCGCTGCTGCTGCTGCCCACCGGCATCGATTTCTAAGCGAGCTCCGCTTCTTAGATTTTTTACGTTGGGTAATTTTCAACTCGCCAACTTTCGGCCCGGCTAATTAGCGGAGAAAATCTTTGGCAGAAGCCGAATGCCCATTTGTTGGCTGAACGTAGAAGTGGTAATGTGTCCAAGAACAGGTGACCTTTTACCCAAGTTTAAGGCCCCAAAAATATCATTAGAGGTAGAGTCTAATTATTATAAAGTTTTACTTCAAACAATATACATAGAGTATGTATTTATATTCCGCAAATATATTAGAACACCTAACAATGATCCATAGTGACCCATTACACATTTCTTAAATTTCTTTTTTACATTTTTGTATTTTATTATTTCACAATTTACAATTGTAATTATATTTTGAAACAAGCAAATTCTTTTCCTAACATCTCACAGGAATTTCCTTCTTCCTTTTGCTTAAGTTGCGTGAAAAAAAGTGTTAAGAAAAGTATATTTTGGCAGTCATCTTTCCTCTAAAATTCTGCTTAATTTCATTATGCCTCAAATCATTACGGCAGCCTCGTTCTCCTTTTCCTACTTAGCTTCCGAATGACCTTTGGTTGGCGCCGTCTTCTCCGCATCCTTTCACTCCTTGCCCCCACACTCCTTACAATTTATCATAAAAAAATAAAAGTTTTTTGGCTTTTTTACGGACCTTTTCATGGGGTTTCTGCCCCCCTGCGGTCAAAAAATCTGAGGGGGACCAAAGGACGGGGGAGCTGGACAATCGGCGCCGTGACTGCGTTCTAGATAAATAAGCATTCTTAATTATCCCTTTGCCTCGTTCTCTGGGGTGGCAAAAATGTTATAAACAATGGAAACCGCGCACTTAATGCGTTTTCTGTTTTCCACAACAGAGCAGAACCAAAAAAAAAAACGAAACGAGGCAGCGAGCAAGTATTTTTCTTCATATTATTCATTATTTTGTGGCAAGAAAGAAAATGTTTTTATTGCCTGCGAAAAAGGGTATAAAGTGCCCCGTCGCCATTAGCCAAGGACCCGCAAACGGGACGACAACAATTCCAATCAAATGTGAAGGAGCAAGCCAACAAAAAAAAAGAAGAGATTTCAAAGTGGCCAAAAAGGCAAGGAGATATGCACTGATGGGCGGAGAATGGGGGTGATAGGGCCGAAAGAAAATGCCGTCGGTAAATGAGATTTGGATTTGGATTTCTGGCCCATGACAGGCCAGTGACTTTTCACTTTTTTCGCATGTGAGCAAATGTGTAATTGAAGTTCCGCTCGAAAATAAAGGCCGAGAAGCGGGCCAAGAAACAAAAGAAACGGGCGAAAGGACTCTAAGGACCCGGCCATTCGATTCAATTGTTGCCTTTCTCACTCGCCGACGGCGCCTTGGCCCAAAGTCGCGATTGCCACATGAGTTGGCACAAAATCACAAAATCGGTAAATCGCTCTCACAAAGTGCACACGAAAAGTGCAGCGAAAATGAGAATGATGTGGCACTTTTTCAATGCTACCTGCCATGTAAATCATCACACACAAAAATCCTTCGAAAATATTATTGCAGGAGCAAAGGATTTAAGCGGAATATAGCTTCATCGATTCGTAAAAATATTCTCATCCAAATATTTGCACTTCTTCTTCGAGAACTCGTAAGGGCTACAATTCAAAACGTAAGCCAACGTAAACACTGACCGTCAGAAGCTGCATTACAGTGGTCCCTCAGAAATAATGGCAGCCTGTACATTATTCTGAAAGTACAATGCAACCATAATGTTTTGAAAGCCTTTTATTATCAATTATAAAGTAGGAATGAACTGGAGCAAAAAACAGAGAAAAATTTCAAAAACATTTTTTGCAAATAAAAATTATACTTAAGTATTTTGGTTAAGTATTTAGCTGTTTATCTTATATCTTATTTAGCTGTCTTATCTTCTTTCGAGATTTTTTTATAGTCTTTGCCACTAAGGTTTTTGATCTTTGTGAACAATTTTGAAATATTTTACTATACGATTACTACAAATTTACAATTTGGACCAAAAAATTTGTTTAATCAGAGATTTTAGAAAACTTAATAATTAATGTACATTGTACAACTAATTAAATGTTTATTTAAGTTTATAAGGCCATAGAAACGGACTGCAAACTCTTTAGAACCAAACTCTCTGGACCAACTTAAAAATCTTTAAGATACATATTAGCATTCCTTAGTTTCCCATTGCCTTAAGCACTTGTAACGTAATCGACGCTCGAAGCTTACGACTGTAGGACGTAAGCGAACGTAAACTTGCACCGTAGGGCCGTGGATTTGTGCAGTTTGGGTTATTCTGCCTTCCTGTGCTGCCCAGCCCACGACCTAAAAAAACGATTTCTATATGTTGGCGACTGTTTTTGTGGCTGTGTGCCGTCCGTGTGTTTAGTATTATCAAATGCAATTTTCTAACGCAGTCGCACTTTCAACGATGACAGCAGCGCCGTTGACGTCGACGTCGGCTGCGGCAGCGACTGCGGCCCCCAAAAGCAGCAACAAGAACGACAATGAACGCCCCCAAACCCCCCGCCAAACAATTGCAGTTTTAAGTGAAAATAAAATGCATGACAACAGCAGTGGAAAAGCAGCACAGCAGCAGCAGCAACAACAATAAAAACAACAAAAACAACAATGCATGCCTAAAACCTAATAAAAATTCAAATTAACATTTGAAAGAGCGAGCCGGCAAATAGAGAGGGGGCGAGAGAGAAAGAGAAAGAAGGCTGCAGCGTGGAAGCGAGATGGGGCGAAAGAAAAGAGAGCGAGACAGAGACAACGACGCAACCGAAAAAGCTTATGAAATTCTATTAATTTTTGAACAAAACGGAATGTAATCCCTGCGAATGACCCATTGCCACCCAGCGGCCACTCCCACTTTTCTAATCGCCCCCATCGACCGATGGCAAACGAAAACTTTCCGATTCCGATGATGCAGCGTCCAAAATATTGTTTGTTGTTTTTCCCCATTTTGTTGCACTTTGTTTTTCTGCTGCTCTGCTTTCGTGTTGTTGTTCTTTTTGTTGTTGTTGTTTTTGCTTTGGTTCTGGTTGTGCAGATTGCAGACACTCGCATAATAATGCAATTTGCCATCTGCCATGGAGCGACGTTCCATCCGATTCGAAATCGACGTCACGCGCCAAAAAGACTGCGACGTTGTTGTTGCTTTTGTTGTTTTTGTGGTTGTTGTCGTTGTCTGGCCTCTGAATGTCTGTTTGTCTGTCTGTCTCACTTCCCCCCTTTTGGATCCCTTCTCCCTCGCACACTCACAAGC